ACTGAGCAATATGAGTAGGATTAAAGCCGTGGCTTTGCCAGCTAGATCCAGTCCATTCCTTAGCTTTCCAGCCTCATGGCGGAGATACAGGCTGTAGCCATGTTTATAGCCACAATTCTATGGCGTTTCAAGGTCCCTGCCAGCCAGCGAGCTACAACAGACAACAGTCAAGTCCTCTCTCGGTAGTTGGCCCTCCTGCCTCAGTCAGAGTTTGCCCTGGCAGGACGGCCCAGAAAGCCGGCATTTTTAAACAGCACAACTTTTTTCCTGCTACGGCTGAAAACCGAAAAGCATGCGTTCAGCTTTTCACCAACACCGTTTAAGTGTTTCGTGGCAGGACCTCTTAATGAGCTGCAGGGTTTTGCAGCTGAAGCTGAGTCAGGAAGCCTCTCTTAGATGAGAGCGCTTGCTTGCCTCTAGCAAGCAGAGTAGACCCAAGAAATTGCTGCCATCAAGAAAACATGCTTTACCCTTTCCCAAGCTTTCTCAGGCTTTTTGTGGATTCAGTTAGCCACACGTTTGGGAGCCATCTGTTGAAATAGGAGCGGCGGGGCTGCGTCCCCAACACCCCGGCCGCTTGGCTAGCTTATGCCCGAAATAACAACACACAAACTGTATTCATTTAAAGAACTGCTTGGTCCATACTCTAGCCCTTATAGGCTAATTCTCGCACCTGGACTAGCCCATTTCTAATGATGTTTGTAAGCACCCCAAGGTGCGCTTACCGGGAAGATTCTAGCCTACATCCATCTTCATCGCGTGTGCCTCAGAGAGCAGAGCTATCGCGTCTACCCGGGAGAGCTGAGCATGGCGTCTGTGTCCCAGCAGAGCTGTCGGGTCTCTCTGGGAGCAGAGCAGAGTCTGACCTCACTTCCTCTTCCGCCCAGAATTCTATTCTGTTTACTCCTCCCATCTATGTTCCAAGCTGAGGCCAAGCAGTTGGTTTATTATAACTTAACCAATGAAATCAACAGATTGATATATGACACTCCCACATCACCTAAGGACAGGTCGGGCCTCTAAGAAGCAAGGCCCCGGACTACTGAGACCTCAAGAACATGAGCAATGGGTTTTTGAGCCTACTGCACGTATTGGCTTTGTGGGAGCCTAGGCAGTCTGGATGCTCACCTTACGAGACCTGGATGGAGGAGGGTGGTCCTTGGACTTCCCACAGGCAGAGAACCCTGATTGCTCTTTGGGCTGACGAGGGGGGGGGGACTTGATTGGGGGAGGGGAAGGGAAAGGGGAGGCAGAGGTGGGGAAGAGACAGAAATCTTTAATAAATTAAAAAAAAAAAAAAAAGAAGCAAGGCCCCCAGAGTGCTGGGGACCTTGCAGAGATAAGAGGGCCACCTGGGCCTTCATTTCTGACAAGAGCTACCACAACCCGGAGGCAAGCTGACAGACAGTGACTTCCAGGATGTGGCGGGCAGCTGCTTGGCCTCTGAGAGAGCATGCCACTAAAGGGAGACCCCGCTTCCCCACCAAGGAACTTTACCTAGGCCTACCTGCCTCAAAACGTCCAGCCCTTAGCTTTGCCTGAGTCTCTGGAGGCCAAATGCTGTACCCTGGAGATGATGTCAGGGTTGGGGAGACAGGCTAGCCAGCACACACATCTGAGGTACCACAGATTTAGAGTCCACAGAAACCACAGTCCGAGGGGGCTGGAGCGATGGCTGAACTGGTAAAGCACCTGTCCTGTAAGTACAAAGGCCCACGCTTGGCTCCTAGAACCCGTGTAGAAATGCTGGCATGGCGGCACATGCCATGGCGGCACATGCCGGGGAGGTAGCGACTGGCGGGTCCCCCGGGGCTCAAGGCCAGTCAAGCCCGACAGCGGCAGGCCAATGAGAGATGTCTCAAAGGCAGTGGACAGTATTCCTAAGAATGACAGCAGAGGCTGTCTCTGGCCTCCACGTGCATATCCACATGTGTGTGAACACACATAAAAACCAAAGCGCAATTGAACCAGAAGCAGTCAGAGCTCGCAGTCCAGCGGCCATAGCAAAGGAAGTGGCCCCATGCCAGCGCGCCATGCTGTCGTGAGGGGGGGGGGTTTGGACACTAGCGTGTTATGGGAATTTCCCATTTAACTTTTCAACGAGGGCAGGCTTGCTGACTGTACTGTAAGTCGAGGAGCAGCTGCATCTAAAGCCACACGCCTCCTACTCTACTTGGGTTTTCTTTATTCTTTGAGGGTCTCTCCAGAGTCTGGAACTCTTGGGCTGCTGAAGCTTCCCAGGTAGCTGGGACTGGAGGCATGAGCTACCAGATCCAACATCCCTGTTCCTTTAAAGTCTTCCCAGGCCTCACAGTAGAGCAAAGGACAGACTCCAGGCATCTCCTTATAAAGCGGCAATAAACCCACCCTCTCCTGGGTGGATGCGGACTCTGAGGCCTCCTGGGAATATGAACTATAGTTTGTTCATCTTTCAGGTAAATCCACCCGAGAGGCAGGCCCAACTCTCAAACTCGTTTCTGATGAGGAGCCGCGGGGTTTGACCCGAGATTGGATTGTGCAGGCAGGGGTGTGGAAACAGCAGGCCCCTGTGGCCGTATGTAATGTGTTCAATGGCAACAGGCATGCCACCTCATGTAGAGACCCTGAGGTATCAGCTAACATGCCTCCCTTAGCCACTTGGCCAGACAGGATGGGTCTGGATGAGAAAGACCTGTGCCATGCCAGGAGCAGGTTGAGGAGAGTAGCCAGGCTCCACCTGCCAAAAGGCCAGTGAGGCCTGGGCTTCATGCCCAGGGAGTACTCCACGTGAGTGGGACCTCCCCGGTGCCTTCTGCTCTGGTGTCCCACCGAACTGTTTAGACCAAGCGTGCTCCTGAGAGTGACTACAGATTGCCTCCTTCCCTGAGCAGGTGCAGGGCAGTGCCCAGGAGCGGCCTGGCTGAAACCCCCAAAAGCTAGTGCCTTCTCAAGCCTGGATGGGCCCAAGTGAGCAGTGGGTATGAGGGCCCCAAAGGACGATCACAGACCCTTTTCCTATCAATGGGCAAGTCGCTCAGCATGAGGACTAACAGGAAATCCTACAAACATTAAGTCACAACTCAGCTGTCCAGGCAGAAGGTCCCTCTATCCCCTCCCAAGACACGAGTTTTTCCTGAATACATATATTTTATGTACATATACTACGAGAAGCCCAACACTTTGGGGTACAAACTTAGTAGTCCCCGGGCACTCCTTTCCCCACCAGCCATGCCTGGGATGCCTGATGCAGACCCACAAGCTCCAACGATGCTCCCCCACGCCCAGCATCCTCCTCCCTGGGTGGCAACTTCCACCGTCCTTTCTATCCTGCCCAAGGTAGTTGCAATGAGTCAGCCGGCATGGGGGAGGCCAGAGTCTGAGGGGAGCTCATGCAGGGGGGTCAAGACAGCTGGGTACGGCCTCCAAGCACTGGGGTTCGTCCTCTCCCAAACGACACTTTATAAAAAGACATCGTAATTGAGTTTAATAATGTACTCCCTTCCAGAGAGGGCCTGACAGGCGCTGCTCACTTCTGCCCCATTCCAAATATTTTTACCTTATTTGGATGAAATGCATTATTTTTCTAATGAAAGGCTTTTTTCAAAGGGCCGTTTCCCCTGTCCAGCAGCCGCCTTTATTAGGCAGCCCTCACACAGTTTGGGGAGGGGCTTTTCTATCCCTGAAGTCACGCCAGACTCTGTCCTCCAAAGCTGAAGCCAGGTTTCTGTCCCTTCTCTTCTGAGCGTGAGTCTAGGCCCCCCCACCTGGTAACACCCCCAGGTGGGGAAAACACAGGGGCGAAAAGGGACAGAGGACTCTCAGAGTATTGGAGGGTGGCGGAAGCTGCCAAAGCCCCTGCTCTGACTTCATTTGTCTCAGGGTATCTGCCCTTCTAGTCTGTTTGGTTCCCTTTGGGGGGACCTCAGAAGGTACCAACAGTACAAATGCTTACTAAGCCAAAGAGGGTTGTGATCGCACAGCAACCATGTTCCCAGGGTCCAGGGTCCCATTCACTAGAGGGACATGACCCAGCCCTCTGACGGCCCAGCTCGGTCTACCCACCTGCCTCTTGACACTAGGACTCCTTGGGGTTCCTGGGAGAACAAGGTCCCCCAGCCATGCTCGAATGTGGTCCCCAGGAGTGAAGAAACATGGCTTCGTCAGGGACAAGAGAAGAATGCCTGCAGGGCGCGTTTTCCAGGGCTCTGCTTCTATCCAGGGACCAGGAGGCTGGAGATCCAGCCCAGAGGATTCATGCGGGGGGGGGGGGGGGGGGGGGGGGGGGGGGGGGGGCCAGGGGGGGGGGGGGGGGGGGGGGGGGGGTATGAAGGGGAGACCTGAGGCAGAGACAGTACTGGGAGGTAGACATCTGGGACAAAAGCAGCCCAAAGCCACACCCCTCAGCTACACTGTATGTCCTGCCCTCCTTTCCCAGGACAATGGGGAGCAGTGGCCTGCAAGGCCGCTGGAGGGACAGGTGCTTTGCTGTGTGGCTCTGCCTTCAGCAGTGGCTACTACTGGGCACGCTCCACTTCTCAGGCCCACACCCACGCGAGGCACATGATAGGCTACTCTCCATGGCTCCAGGCCTGGCCAGACCGCGATGGAAGGAGTGGAGAGTGTCCCTCGGAGGGTGCTCCTCCTGCCCCAGCTTTCTGGTCATAGCTCAGCACACTGTGAAGGTTAAAGGGAGACAGGGAGGGCTCGAGCGAGCAGGCGAGGGACTAGCAGAGCACAGACGGGCTCCTGGGGAATGTGCATCCATTTAAGGAAGGCAGCTCATCCTGCAGCAGCAGGTCTATATACAGTAACGAGTCCCTTCCTTCCTGCTCTCAGGGGAATGTCGCCCTCCACAGACACCAGCGCAAGGAAGGAGCCCCTCCAGTCCTGGGTGAGCGGCTCTGACAGGTCCCTGGGAGCCCATGTCCCTCGGGGCCCTACTCTGGTGGTCACCTGGTGGAGCTTTAACTGAGACCCACCTCAGAGACGCAGGTGCTAGCAGACGAGGTCAGAGCCAGGAGTTAAATATGGCAACTCATATTTATTACAATTATGTACAGTCATATCTTATATTCTGAAATCTATACATGATCACATAAATGAACATGTGTTTCTCGGTGGGAAGAGCAGACGTGGCTGTTGGTCAGGAAGGCCCTGCTGCCTGGCTCCACTGCAGGAGGGAGAAGCACGCCTCACCACCGAGTAGCCAAACCGTAACACAGCAAGCGAGGATGCTCTTGTGTAGTATACAGGACAACAGGGCAGGTGGGCTGGGGACAGGTGCCCAAGGGCAGCATCTGTCTGCCAGGACCTGGCTGTGGGGAGGCTGGGTCCTGGTAGGCCCACAAATGAAGGGCAGGTCCAGGACTCTGGCTTTTGGAACAGGCAAAGAAGAAACCACAGGCCAGCCAGGGCACAGTGGGAGACAGCAAGACCAAGGGGGGCATAGTTCTCCCTGCACGAAGGTGACAGGAGGCAGGAGATGCCATGCACGGTGTCAGGTAGTCAAGATCTTAGAGGACACACCTGGACAAGACACCTGTCCAGGAGGGGTTCAGCAGGGGCTTGAGCACAAGGCTCCTGAGTCCTCCGCCTGGCTGTGAAAAGCCAGAGCCACCAGGGCCAAGGCTAGGGCTGAGGCCGGGGGAGGTGTCTGGGAGGCTGGTGAACAGAAATGCAACCCCACACTGCTGCATCTGAGGACGGCCCCATCCCTGCTTGGGTTGCTGGCCACCCTCATGGAGGCAGAGCCACGACTCATGCCCACCTGCCACTGATGTCCTGGGTCGCTGGAAAGGCAGGCAAACAAGTGCCAGCCCTAGTCTCGCTCACTCTCATTGCTGGCACCCTCTGGCCGCCGCAGCTTCTCTACCTGTTCATTGATCTGCCCATCCCCGCCCCGCCGGTCCTCCCTCTGTACCCCGAGGACATCCTCCTCATCCACGTGGCTCACATCGTCGTCCTCATCCTCCTCGTCCTCCTTGTCCTCCCTCTTCTCCTCCTCACCCTGCACCTCCATCCTCACCTGGCCTTTGACATCTACCACCCCCTCACCCTCTTCCTGGGGGCCCAGCAGGTGGTATGTGGCTGTGGAGCCCTCAGGGCTGTGGCTCTCCTTCCCAGGAGAGGATGATGTGGATTCATTGCTGACTGGGGAGATGTCACTGCTGCTGTGGTGGTTCACGGCTGCGGGGCTGGAGGGTGACGGAGACTTCACTGGGATCTGCCAGGAGGGGATCTTCGGGGCTGATGGGGAGGGAGGGAACTGCCTCCTGGCAGTGGAAGAAGAAAAAAGGAAGTAGGCAGAGGTTGGTGATAGCATCACTTCAGGCTCCAGAGTCACACACTCCCTTGATCCCTGATCCCTGAAGGCTCAGTGATGGGAACAGTTCTTCCAGGGCCACAAAGCAGGGGACTTGAGGTCTCATTAGTCAAGCTGGATACCGGAAGTGCCGTGTGCTAACACTGTCCTAATGCAGCCTCACACCACCTCAGGGCAGGACCTGCCTTGGCAGCTGCTGGTCTGCCAGCTGGAGGTGCAACACACTCTGGGGCCTGCCCCACCCTATGCAACACTGTCCCTGTTCCACTCCTGTGGCTACACAGGGACAAAACAGGAAGCCAAAGGGACCAAGACTGGGAACACAAGAACCCTGGTTAGTGCGTTCATCATTTCAGCACAAGGCAGCAGTGGGGAACCCTGGCTACTGGTCAGGGCGCAGAGGCATTAAGAGCAAAAGGTAACGTTAGAACCCTCTGCTGGAAACCTGTGAGCCCAAGGAGAAGCCAGCTCTCCTTCCAGGCCCCGGACCAGCAGCCTGCCCAGAGTGACGCCCGTGCCAGGACATATCTGAAGTCAGGTCAGCGTGGTCATGGCTCAGAAACGGAGCTCTATGACAGCCTTGTTTCTGCAAAGGCTGAGGACAGCCTGCTCCTGTCCAGGGCTGTGCCACCTTCCAGCATCAGCTGCAGAGTCAGTCTCGGACCCAGAGCCCACCCGGTGGCAGCACTCATCAGCATATAAACGCACTAAGAAACTCTGTTTGTCGTTTTCTTGGCTTGAGTGTCACCCACTGCCTGCATGTGTCTCTTAGTCACACAGTCACCTCTCTAAGTTTGGAAAGCCAAAGACTTCTAAGAACAACCTGCCTGCCCTGCCTGGCTTGCCCATATCTGCTGTAGAGATCCATGTCTGTCCGTCCATCTGTCCTGTGCCACCCACCCCCACCCCCCAAAAATTGTGTTTTAGGAGGCTTCCTAAAGCCTCCTCCGCTTTGGGCTCCAGTTTGGGCTCACCACGGCACTCCTTACCCCATCCTTGCACCCCTACAAAGCCCACCTTGGGCATCATGGTCTTGTTTCTGGCCAAGCAGACATACACATGTCCAGGCCCAGCCTGCTAGGGCACACTCAGGCAGACTGACTGCTCACTCCGGCTTCCTGGACATTGCCCTTCAAGTTTTCGACCTGGGCACTCCCCAATCAGGGCTGCCCTGAGAACAATGTGCTGCTGCTACAGGGGGCACCGGGAAGCTTCGTGGGGGCAGCGCTTATTCTGCTGACTCTGATTCTGCAAGCTCTCACTCCCTGTACCCCAGGGGGTGTTGTCGAGCAAGGCTGTCTAGAGAGGTGCAATGCTCAGGAAGGAGTGGCTGCCTCCAGGTGCCCTGTATCAGTCAAGTTCCCTGCTCTGCCTCAGTGCTGTCCCTCTCGATCGGTTTTGAATGCGACGCTGTGGACACTGTCCTCCTGATGTGGGGAGGTAGGATCTTCATCTTCCAGCTCAGTGAGGGGTCCTGTCCCGCCCGTGACTGCTGGACCAGCCCACAAGTCACATCCCCACCAGGTTGACCCTGGACAAGACTGAGCCCCAAGCGTCCCCTCCTACCGATTCAGAAGAAGCCCTTTCAAGGAGTTGATTTCCGACTTGAGCTCATTGATGTTCTGGGACTCCAGGATCCAGTTGGTTGACGTGGTGGCCTGAAAGTCAGAACACAGGGAACATGGGTCATAATGGTGCCTGTTGCCAGCCTGGGTCAGGTGTCGGGGGACTTAGAAGGACCCTGGATGGGGCAGCAGCTGTAAGCCATTCTGTTTCCCACTCTATCAGTCACACCTGCCCGTGACAGCACCCTAGAAACAGTCCCCAAACCCTGTCTGGGTGTACAGTGACGCTAGGATCACCGCATGGCCGCAGGCTGGCACTACAGCGTCGTGTAAATTAACAAACAAGCCCATCCCTCCCACAGACACTGACATATTCATAGTGGCAGGTGACAGCGGAGGGGCTTTCGTAGCCATGAGAATCTTCCACTTCTGTCGAATACCTGAAACTTCCATTTAAACCACCACCCTGAAACCCAGTTCCCCCAGAAATCAGGGCTAACCAGTCAGGAGAGGCCATGGACAGCAGGAGCACAGCCGGAGAGAGACCACTGTCTGCAGTTCTGCCTTTAAGCAGGGCAAGATGGCAGCCTCACCCTACTGCAGTCTCCATGCTGCTCGGGATCTCTGCTCTGGCGATGACCTCGGGTCTCCAGGGCCTTCCCAGGGTCAACAAGGACGCCCCTAGCCAAACCCCACGCCATCCAATCTTATTTATTCTTTGGGACAAATCAAGGCTGAGTGGTGAGAAGGCCTCAACATGGCCTCCAAAGGGCAGGGGTAGGGCACCTTCCTACCACTAAACCTCAGCGAGTCATGCTTTACAGTGTGAAGAGGAAAGGCCAGGCAGCGGTTCACACGTCAAGGCTGTGGATGGCCACGTGGTCTGTGTGGGCAGGCATGAGAGGCAGGAGGCTCTCAATTCACCAGACTCTCCCCAGGCTGCTGAAGGGACACCCCTGGATATCCCATGGTTCCTGACAAGGTGGGGTACGTTAGGCTAGCCTAGACAGCCCACTGGGCACACTTTTGCGGGAAGAAACCTCTCTGCTGCTGGTCTCAGAAAGGAAGACTGGGGGAATCTAGAGGGAGCAGGGAGTGGCCAATGTCCTCACACGCATCGCCATAGGGTCCGTACACCAGACCACAAGGCCCGGGAGCCACTGTTCTGGCTTCTGCGAGCCCTTGACAGCTACAGCAGCCCATTAACAAGGGAGCGATTTCCACTCACTGGCCACAAAGGACTCAGATTTCCAAACGCACATGGTGCCAGATGCCAGGATTTAGAAATAAAACCTGACATCTGGGGCTTTTTAGCCAGTCTCTTTAAAAAACAGTTGTAGCAAACTCGCAGGCTTCAGTTTTATGTAGGTTTTTAATTACTTAAAGCTCTTCTTTTCATTTTTTACAGTACTCCAGTAGGAGTTTGGAAGGCAGATATAAAAACTTACATTACAGCTGAGAAAACATAGCTTGAATCTTTGGTTTATGGGGTAAGAGGAGTCCGCACACACTGTGGGCCTGGGTGCCAGGCCAGAGCCCCACTTCGGCGGGGAGAACAGAGAAATGCTCTGTGGGGCGGGAGCTGTGACAACTGCAGACCCTCCCAGACCCCCAAGCCAGTCAGCCCCGCCCTCTTAAAGTACAACACGTGGTCTTCATCTCGTGCTTAGGGCCTGAGAACACTTTTCCAATTTCCGGAATGGCTGCTGGCCACTGGCAGGCCACAGATCTGAATGATAACAGTCAAATGGGAGCACACGGCCTTCCTGCTTGCTTTACAGCTGCCTGGAGGGGACACACAGCCCAGCAGGGTAGCACCCAGTCACCTGAGCAGGAAGTGAGACAGACTGTGTGTAAAATGGAATGGATGTTGGGAGAGGGCTCTTGGGAACCTTCCTCACAACAAGGACCCTGGGCTCCAGCACAAGTGCAAAGATGCTCAGTTTCCTGGATCTGCAGTCCAGCTGTGCGGTCTGCTCAGCACCCCTGGCAGCAGCTCGGGCGGGATCTTCCAGAGAGTCCCATGGACCCAGCAGATGCTGCCTCTCAGATCCTTCTAGCTAAGATCGGTGCTTTGGGGATGACACTTCACACCCAAAGCTGAGGACCTGAATCCTCGGCTCTGACTAGTACCAGACACCACTCTTAAGCACAGAAGACACACAACAAAGTAGATACTGTCCCAGCTCCATCTTACAAACAGACTCAGAACACATACGCAACTTTTGCCTGTGGTCTAACAGCTGGCAAAGTGAAGAGTGAGGATTTTATCCAGACAGACTGACCCCCCAGTCTGCTGTTGAGCAGACTGCTCCAGACCTAAGCAGCGAGGCATGGAAAGCACTTCAGTCAACCCTGGTTGGCTCTAATTCCTTTCAGATCATCTGACCCCATGGATTCTAGGTCTAGGAACTGCCCACTACAAGGCTGAGCCCAGCACCTTTGGCAGAGTGGGAACTAGGAAACCGTCCATGGTGCGTTTCTCTGTTGCCTGGACTTCTCCTTGGCCAGGCTGTGACCTACAGCCTGCCGGGGCATGCCTGCCATCAAAAGTCCAGCAGCAGAGGGTGGCTTTTCATTCCTGTTGTCAGGAGGTGGCACAAAAACAGGAACATCATTGTTGACGGTTAGTGCTACACCGAGACAGTGGTGCCCCGCTTCTTTAATGGAGGACAGCGTCAGCCTGAGGTGTCACCCATGACAGAAGATGACAAGCGGAGGACACCAGGCCCTCAGAAGACAGTAGACAGGTGGAGACCTTAGAGCTAAACGGAACAGACCTGGGCCTGGGGACCCAAGGGTCCAAAGATAAGTACCTTGGCAGCGGCCAGCTCATGGGCCAGCTCCTGGACCTTCTGCTGCTGCTGTCTCAGTAGCTCTTGGACAGAGGCCAGCGTTGTCTGTACCTGAGTCACTGGAGAAGAGAGCATTACATCTGGTAGTCAGTGCCCAAGGTTCCCTCCTCGCCCACATACCTGCAAGCTGCCCGCCTCCTTGCTATGTGTAATTTATCTGTAGGCCCTGCCCCTACACCCAGATAATTTATCTGTGCCTGGGGTGATCCACCCGCACTGTGTGTAACCTCTGGTGTTTCTCCTTCATCTTCCCATTGTGTGCCTGTCCGTGGTCAACAGTACATCCGTCCAAAACCTCTCCCCTCTAATTATGCCTGGCTGTGACATGCCTGGCTCTCTAGCTCCTGCCATGCTCCAATCATTCATCTCTCCGGACTCACGGTGGCCTTGGGTGCTCTAGGGTAGCTTCAGTCCCAGGAGGACTGAGACTCAGGTCTCCGGCCATATCCAGGAATGGGAAAGTACAAGTCCCACCTGCGCTGGTTTTTCCCATTCTGTTCTGCCCCACTGAGGACTTGTCAAGGCCGCTCTACCATGTGACCTGTTGAGGCCTGTGACTACTACTATGTTCCTGCCTCCTAGGAGCAATGGCCCATGGGACAGACGAGTTAGAGGACTCCAGACATCTCTGCACAGGTGCCAGTGAGGGACTGACTCCTGCCTGGGACAGGTGACTCTTCTCCCTGCCTCAAGGTTTAGATGTACAGCTTCCACTTAGTAAACAAGTTCATAAAGGAGAAGAACCACCTCTGCCACAACAGGTCCTAGCTAATCTGGGCCATCACTGGGGCAGCAGGTATTGAGTGCCATCGGCATGGAGTCGATAACAGAGGAGGTGGCAGGGGTCCTGGGAGCCACAGTAATTACAGACTCTCTTGACCCTGCAACTGGATTCTTCGAGGGAAGGGGGAAATCACTGAAAACCCCCCTGAAAACCTCATAGAAGCAGAAATTAAAAATGAACTTTACAGCCCTTAGAAAGGCTGTCATTTTATTCCCCTTATTAATATTCTGAGGTTGGGAGCCTTTCCGTAAAAACATAATTAATTGAGGCCGCGCCGACAGTAAACAAGCAATTTCAAATTAAACCGAAATGACGGCGGCTTCATTTGCAAATGTGAACAGATTCTCAGAGCAGATAAATGAAGTCACCACAGAGTGGAGACGGAGGGAGAGGGAGGGGCCGAAAGGGGCTGCGTGAAGGGGCTTTGAGGGGTGACTTGATGGAGTCATTAATCTTTACCTGTCTGGGCCACGCTGCCACTCAGTTCGGAGAGACTCGCCGCCATCCTCTCTAGCTGCTTCCTGTCCTCTCGGCCTCCCAGGATGAGGGGCAGCAGGTACTTCTGCACGAAGGGACCAGGTGAGGAGGTGGCCACACCAGCCTCTCAAATCCCACCACCCAATTTGCCCTGATCTTCTGTGGGTCACTCCAGTCCCAACACACTCCATACTAGAAAAAAAGTGCTTGAGAAAGTTACAGGGCTGCTTACGGCCTCCTAAGAACTTCTGCGGGAACAAGGACAAAGATCAAAAGAAGGGGAGGAGGAGTCAGGGGTGTCTAGCAGAGGCAGAGCCAGGTCTCTGAGCTGTCCCTCGTCCCTTTCACTTACTTTTCATATATATATATATGTCTACGATGCTTGTAAACTCTACTTGAAAAGTTCTAAGGAGACTGTAGAGGGCTAGAGGCCAGGCCAGGCACTGGCCCCACGGTGGGTGGCTCTGGGGGAGAGCAAAGCAGCTTTCACTGTTCCTTTCTGAATCTTTAACACCTGAACTCTGTGAATGAAACAAACGGCCTCACCCATCCAGAAATAGCATTAGATCTGCGTAAACACAAGGTTACTGGAGAAGGGGGAAAATCAACAGCTTCTGGGGTGGTTATCTTCCACGGTGGGAATAAAGAGGGCACCTTGAACTCTTCTAAACATCAGAAGGGGCTTTCTTCATGGGAAGCCAAAACAGCCTAGACCCTCCCAGAACTGAAAGACAGGCAGAGGAAAAACTGCACCAGGGACACAGGAAGCCAAGGCTGCTGACTGCGGGGCCACCAGGAAGGAACACCTATGACCAGCCTCCCTATCCTTTGGGAAAGAGGGGGGCACAGCTGGAAATCTGTAGGGCGTGGAACAAGGAAGTACAGGGGTTGGAGGTAGCAGTAGCAGGTGCTGGGAGGACAGATGGGAGAGCCTGTGCTTTGCCACCAAGCAGTTTGGGATCTGGAGACCTTCTGGCCCCCACTCTAGGGAGTTGAGGTCCACATCAATCTGAGAGGACACTGTTTCAGCCAAGCACACAAGCCTGGCAAGTGGTACCCAGAGAGAACTTAGATTTTCTGTTTATTTGGGTTCCAGACAGGAAAAACAGAGAGAATGTTCTCCATTATGGGTTCTGTACTAGGGAAGAAAAGCAAGTCTCATGGGGGTTTGTGGGAGAACTCATTTCAAGAGAAACTCCGAGTGAAGCTCGCCACTTAGCATGTGCACAGAAGCCGTTTCTATTTTGCAAAGTGCTTTGCAGCCACAGTGTGAGTTATTACCCACAACCTGGCGGAACTCATCAACTCAGCCTGACGTTTCCTAAGTATAAAAGTCAAGAAATTCTCAGTCGCACAACCAGCTACCCACAATTCCTCGGGCCAGAGCCCGTGAGCAGGGAGTGCTGCCACTGCTCTGGCTAAATCTCTGTGCCTATACAAGGCAAGACAGTCCCCCACTTTTTAAAAACTTAAAGAAAAGTACCAGAAGATGCTGAAGACATTGTTGTGTCACCATTGTGACCAACACTTCAATGTTTCCTTTCTTTTTAAAGCAGGCTGGTGGCCAGAGCAACACGGAAACAGGCGGCAATCTCTGTGTCACATCTGAACCAAAGTGTCACACCTCCTGTTCTCTTGGAGGGTGGGGGGCAGGCGATGGGACAATCATGTGTTGTTCACAGGACACTCTGTGTTGGCGTCTGTCTGCAGCTGCAGCCAGCGACCTGAGAGGCTGCCCCATGCATACAAGGCAACACAGCAGCTCAGCAGCGGATGTCCCAAGCTTCTGAATTTCTGCACAGGAATTGCTATTCTGGCAACAGACACTACACTGAAGAGTTACTTTCTGCCACAACTCTGTCATTATCTATCCTATGAAGTCAAAAACTAAGTATCCAAGAATGCAAGGTTTACACACATTTCCTGGCTAAAATCTACACTGCAAGCCTGGGAATTCAATAGGGTCCTTAAAAAAAAAAAGTTGCTGGGTAGCGGTGGTGGCACACATCTTTTTTCCCCAGCACTCAGGAGGCAGAGGCAGGTAGATCTCCGTGAGTTCAAGGCCAGTCTGGTCTACACAGCTAATTCCAGGACGTCCAGGGCTAGATAGAGAAACCCTGTCTTGAAAAACAAACAAACAAACAAGTCACCAAATCATGCTGGATTAGTGGGAGACCTCAGAAGAGAACATGGCTTCTCTCCAGGGTAAGCAGGCCTGGCTGTGGGGCCATCCTGGCTCTGGGGCCATCCTGGCTGGGCATCTTGTAGACTAGCTTCTCCCAATCAAGGCGGGGCCTTTCCACTGGTATCATGGGAGATGTTTGTTCAGTGCCTTCAGCTCTGCTACGAGCATCAACTCTACGGTTGAGGGCTGGCTGACTCACAGGCTCAGGGAAAATCCCACGTTTATACAGATGCTACCACAATCCACAGAAAACAAGAAGTGGGCTCCCTGAGCTAGTTGTAAATACCAGGGTGGAATAAGGCCATCTAAGGGGCTTCCCACGAGCCAGCACCACTCCAGCACTGTCCCAAGACTGACTCCTGGGTAAAGTCTACAGATGCTGAAAGCCCTCACTCACAGCCAGAAGACGCATCAATACACCTGACCTCCTAAGCAACACGGTGCTCCCGAACTACTTCACTGTGCCCAGAATACTTGCTGCACAGGTTGGGCAAAATGTCAAAAGCAAAGCCTCTCTGTTTCTTCACTGAGTATTGTGCCCAAAGTGGGAATACTGACGTGGATAGGCACACTTTCACACCACTGTGAGGCCAGATCATCTGGTCTTGTCCTGCCTTACAGACAAACCGCTACTCTGGGACAGAGTCAGGTTCAACACATACAGCTGGGCTCCAGAGTCCAAGCTCTTAACCACAAGGTTACTATGTCTCTCAAACATACTTCTCGGCCAGGCGGTGGTGGCGCACACCTTTAACCCCAGCACTTGGGAGGCAGACAGGCAGATCTCTATGAGTTCAAGGCCAGCCTGGTCTGGAGAGTGAGTTCCAGGACAGTTAAACCTACACAGAGAAATTCTGTCTTGAAACACCCGCCCCCCCCCGCCCCCCCAAAATTTACATACTTCTCACTGGTAACAGGCGCTACTCTGAACACCCACCTGGCCTTTTAGCTCATGCTGTGGGGGTGGAGGGTGGGGGATGGGGGTGGGGGTGATCCAGCACGGGAAGCTGGAGCAGCAGTGCCTGTGTGCCTTGTGTTTCGCTTGCTGTACTGCCTAGGGCAGAGCATCCACTGAGGTCAGTGCCTCTCTAAGTCAAGGGTCAGGAAAGATGGCTGAGCGCCAAAGGGTAGCGGGGCACAACACTCTGCTGCCCTTGGGAGGCAACTTACCTTGTAGAGCTGGTGAAAGCCAAATGCAATTCCCGCCATGATGATGGCCAAGGCACCGTAATCTCGCCATCGGGAACCTCCGGGGCCTAGTCGTAGGAAAAAAAAAAAAAAAAAGGAAGAAAGCTAGGACATGTCTCCAGCATCCCTCCCTAGGAGTGGAGGAGTGGGAGTGTCTCAGTTGGCAGGCAAGTGAGACACACCGCTGTAGAAAGTAGCACGTGACCATCAGAACGTCTGTAAGGCTCTCCTCTCTTCTTCTCAGGCTCCCAGAACCATCTGCCTCACTGGAGATAGGAGTGACCTGACCCTGAGATGCTGAGGAGAGGTATCCAGTTGTGAGCTGAGCATCCAGCCTTGAGTGCGGGTCAGAGGATCTTTGGCCTGGCCTGTGAGGTCAAGGAACAAGGATCATTCTAGAGACTACACACCACACAGAGGGATAAACCAGGGCCCACAGTGACCTGGGCCTCCCTGCTCTGCTCATTCCTCAGGTTCTAAAGACACGAGTCTGCAAAGGACGAAGCAAAGCAACTTCTGAGGATGGTGAGGGACAGGACCAAAGCCTGTGTCCTAGAGGCCAGTGTGTGTGGGGTGAGGAAGACAGGTCGGGGCCATCAGAGTACCAGCCCACAGCAGTGAGGTGGCAGTGAAGGACTTGGGAGAGGAAGTGCCACAATCACAACTCTGTTCCAGGAGAACACTGGGATAGCTCTGGGGAAAGCTAGAAGTAGGGGACATTTTTGCAAGGGCCACAGAGGCGGAAATAGGCTAGATCAGAGGTCAAGGACATTTTAGAAGGAGAATTTGCCATTGTTTTGAGGAAGTGGACTGAGCATCCAGTCCTCACCTCATGCCAGGCTCCTGGCCATTTTTTTTTTTTATTGTATTCTTCCTTTCTGCAACTATGATCTGAAAACAGTAAATGGAAAATTCCAGAAAGAAACAACTCACAGGCTTTAAACTGTATACCATTCTAAGTAGAATGATGGCATCCAAGCCCTTCTGTTCTGACCGCCAGGACCCCACCGAGCTCTGCCCAGCGTATCCACACTGTATAGGGCACATGCCTACCGCACACTGATTTCCATCTGCCTCTCAGACTGATTGTCTGAGCATCTCAGCACAGTCTGGGCAACCCTTATTTCACTTAACAATGGTCTCAAAGCATAAGGGCTGAGATGCTTTGAATCTGCCTAAGAAAAGCCTAAGCATTTCCCTTAAGGGAAAAACATGAACGTCCTCAATAAGAAAAACACAATGATGGGCTGTCAGATCCTGGGGTGAGGAGGGCATGCCTTTTATTACAACATACTACCACAGTTACACTTTACTACTGTTAAACTGTAAGTGAAACTTTATCACAGCTGTGTATGTAGAGAGCGCCCAGTCTCAGGCTTCCACTGGGGTCTTGGGATGTATACTCTGTGGGCCAGGGAGATTCTACTTGCATGACACAAGTGGGCTCTCTACCATCCCATGAAGGGTTCATGAGGGGCTTGGGTCTGTAACCTGGCCTGCTTTCTCCAGGCCTCTGGGGCCCTGCCAAGAGGAAGGACAGAGACCACGGTGGGCACGCTTGGCAGTTACGGATGAAGCAAGGTACTGTGCCAAAGAACAACTGCCCAACAGGGCGCCCGACAGGCTGAGGGGAAGCTACCTTCCTCCAAAGTCAAGCCTGGGAGCAAAGAGGGACAGGAATACTGTGGGGACCCTTGGAGGGGGACTAGAACCAGCTTTGGTGCTTCAGAGAGCTCTCCTCCTCTCCCTTCCCTCTCCACCTGTGCCAGCAAGCTCACCGAGGTACCTGCCACCATCTGCTGTCTCGGGACCAAAGGAGAGGAGCGAGGTCTCGTGCAGGCTTAGTGGTGGGATAGGCATGGAGCTGGGGTTGTGGGCATGTGGCCCAGCCAGGAAGGCCAATTCCCCATGACTTCCAAGAAGGTGAGGGCACACCCTTTCTATCTGGACTACTAAACAGCATTTTCAAGAGGCAAGAGGGGATCGGAAGAATGTCTCTTTCCCTGTACTCATGAAATCCACTTGGGATTCCCCAACATGGCCCAGCTCATCTTGGCCATAAAACTGCAATTAATGTAATGGCTTCTCCCAGCCTTCAACTCCCATTTCTATTTTACAGATTCCGACAAGACTCATAGTTTAAGCATCAAGTAGAAGTCAGCGTACTGTAAAGAGGCATCCTCTGCTACAAACAGCCGCTGTCCACAGCTCCACGCTATCCTTCCAGAGAATGTTTACACACGTGTAAAGCACGAGGTGCACATCTGATTCTCCCCCTTCCTCCCACTTCTCAGCGTCTTCCCCACAGCTGTCTGCTATTCCACGGAACCTGCTTGCTGACACACAGAGCCCCTCTCTGGTCTGTCCGTAACTGCAGCACACACACTGACTTGTGTCAGCTCCCATAGAGGCTGTCAGAAAACCTGAGACTTCACAGGGACATGGGTCAGAAGGCATGGTTGTGATGCCAAGAGACAGGCCAGACTCCTTCCGTAGGGCTTTGCAAATCCAGCCACTGGCCACGTTTTCAGCTTCCGTTCAGTGCGTTCGGCAGATGTAGATTGGCAGCAGCAGAACGGTGCTTTGCTCTGCTCGCCCACCTTATTCCGTATGCATTTCCTTTGGGCCAGTGTGCGCATTCCATTTTCCTACTTCATTTCTCCCCCGCCTCACTTTTGAGAGACTTTTTTTTTATGTAGCACGGCCACTAGTCCTTTGTAACAAGAATCATAAAGACTATTTCTTTTTTTGTAGTTCTGCTTATGGTCTTAAGTGGCATGCAAATGTTTCGTGTGTGTGTGTGTGTGCACAGACGTATTTGTCAATGTGTTCTTTTTTTTTTTTTTTTTTGGTTTTTCGAGACAGGGTTTCTCTGTAGCTTTGGTGCCTGCCCCGGAACTAGCTCTTGTAGACCAGGCTGGCCTCGAACTCCCAGAGATTTGCCTGCCTCTGCCTCCCAAGTGCTGGGATTAAAGGCGTGTGCCACCACCACCCGGCGTCAATGTGTTCTTTTGTGAGGCCTGGGGTCTGTGTTATGGTTAACAAGGATGTCCCTACTCTCCGTCTGGACTACACTGTGATGCCCAATGAGGTGCTCACATCTGAAAAGGCCATCCATGAAGGTAAGGACTGCCTTGCTGGTTACAGACAACCCTGTGTGTTGCAAGTTCCCTCTAGTTCCATAGGAGGCTCCGAGGCCCCTCTTAGTTGGACCCTGAAATGCAAAATCTGAGTCTTGTGTGGGTCTTCCCATTGCTCCTTCTCTTCTAGTCAGCTCTGCTCGTTACGCCAGGTGTAAAATACAACGTCTAGTGAGGGGAAGTCCATTTTTAGGAGAAAAATGTCATAAAAGAATGACCTTGCCACACTTCGAGAGGGTCCTTGTTCCAGAGGGACATCTGTCCACACAACCCAAATCCCCAGAGAACACCTTCCCATGGTGCTGCAACCAGCAAACCACATTCACCATTAACTCTCAAACTGCCACTGGCCACTGAGTATCCTACAAGAAGACAACTGCACTACGCTGACCATTCGAGCAGACCCCCAGCCTGCTGAATCAGCTGCTTCCCCACAGGCACACCTCCCATGCTTGGACAAGCGCAGCCTCTTTCTGCTGACATCGAGACCCTGAGGCCAAGGCAGCCTCTAGAGCTTGCAATCTGGGAGCTCAGGCCCTGCACAGCTGTCCACCATGCAGGAGCTCTGCCCTCCCCAGGCCCGAGAAACACCTGTAGTTCCCTGCCAGCTCACCCTTCGCCCTCACTGCCGCGACGTTCCTGCCAGGCTCGCGTTAAGAACATTTTATTGCCCCCTGGTTTTCATTATTAATGAAAAGGGACCAGAATGATCTTTCCTAAAGTTCAGAGAGTCTATAAAGACTAGAAGCTGAAATGCCATTTTACTCGTTTTAGAGATGTGTGATACAATTCTGTCTTGGCAAAATGAAGAGAGAAAAACTCAGATGCGAAAGCTTCTTTTCCGCTGCATGGCTTCAAAGGTAAAAGTCTCCACTGAAGCAGCAGACCCTGGCGCCCACCTCCTGCCCACTCTGAGTCCAGGAGACACTCCTATCACTGCAGCGCCCAGTGTCCGAGGGCAGAAGTCAGGGCCCGCAACCTGATGGCTCCAGGTAGGAAGGAAGATGAAAAAGCTTTTTAAAAATTATTGCATATATTTATCTACCTATATGTGACTAAGGGCATGAGTGCACCCATGTGTGGTTGTGCTTTCCAGAGTCTGTTCTCTCCTTTCACCACATGGGTCCCAGGGATCAAACTCAGGTCATCAGGCTCAGTGGCAAAAGCCTGTACCACTGAGCCAGCTTGCCGGCCTGAATAAGCTATACAACTGGGGCTGGAGTTATGGCTCAGTGGTTACTAGAACTGGCTGTTCTTCCAGAGGGCACAAGTTTGGTTCCTAGCATCCACATGGCAGCTCACTACTGTCCATAACTCCAGTTCCAGGAAATCTGATGCCTCTGTAGTCCAAGGGCACTGCACACATGCACACACAACACACAATGAAAACTAATACAAATAAATCTTTTTTAAAAAAAAGCTGCACGACTACCAGGCAGCGTAGTCATACCCACAATCCTAGTATTTAGGAAGCTGAGGCAGGAGGATCACAAGCTGAAAGGCAGTCTGAGCGTCACGACACAAAAGTGGGAGCGAGAGCGCCAGAGAGCAGGATCAAGAGGGCCCTGCTCCTCTCAGACTACTGACGGCTTCAGCACCCAAAAGGTGGGGCAGAGAGCGCCTCCAATACTGTATCCCTGGGGGCTTTGTAAGCACGTGGACAGCAATGACCGCGCTATACACTGGGACTCTAAGGTATGGTAGGGAACGTGCTGTGGTGAAAAGTCTTTGAAGTCTGACACTCTGTAACCTTTACACACTGCCTCTCTGAAGCTGCCTGGAGGTCTGCTCAGAGGTTCAGGATTGGGGCAGTTGTAGGGACAGTGGTCACAGTGGCAGGGGAGCATCTCCAAGGCTCTGTAACTATTCTCCAAATACCAACAAACCCAACATTGCCAGGTTCTTTCACTATATCTCAATCAAGAGAA